AATACGATTATATGAAATAAATATATGATTACTGATTAATATTAAGTAAATTATTTTTAATTAATTGTTGAATATTGTGTTAATAAAATTACAAAATCCTTGCCATTTTTTTTCCTTGTAATTTCCTTACATTAAGTCATTAAGAACACTATTTTATAAAATTTAAAAAAAAGGCCTATGGGGGGGATCTGACCCCCACATCCCCCCTTTGTATACGCCCCTGTAAGATTACCTATATAGAGTATACCTGCATGACTGGTGCTTTATCTTATGTAAAAACTGTAAAGTCGAAAACCGTGGATCTATAAGTACTTAGATATTTAAGATAGGTTATTTATAGAAGTTTTTTTTAATTCTTGAGTTGATATTATAAAAAACGTCATTATTTATTTTTGAAATTTACAGGTAGGTAGTAATTGAGCAAACATTTAGCTTTGAGTAAAAACATAAGCTATTACCAAAAGTTCATTACTTAGTGAATAAAAACATTTGGTTTATTCTATTATAAATTATAATTATTGTCCAGAAAATAATAGTCATGAAAACTTGGCAATTTGACCAATTTTTATTAATTTGTGGTTATTTTACCGTCAGATTTTTTTTCAATTGTACATAATATTATAATCTAAAAAATCTTGTTAGGGAAAATTATAATTTTAATATATTTCATATTTTTATTAGAATTCTTTCAAATACTTTAGAGTAATGTGTATTTAATTAGTTAAGTATAATATTGACTTATTTTGTACTAAACAATGTGTGTACTCTAAACATATTTTTTAATTCTGTTGCAGGACATCTGGACATGACACATGCAACTAGACTACTGGATCATCAACCTCCGGCTAATATAATTCTAAAATATATATAGGGTACTGAGTAATGTAGGTAAGTGAGTTATATAGAGTGTACCCAGTTTACGAGTACACATTATAGGAAAACAATACCCCATATCCTACATGGAAATTATTTTACCTTTTCGTGAAATACTGTATTTGTATTTTATAGGTACTGTACTACTGTGTTATTATAATATTTATAATTATTAGTCGCTAGAGACTCCTTTCTGTGCATAAGTAACACCGATAAGAAACAGCACCTTGACAACCGATAGCGAGACTATTATACATTAAGTTTCGTTTCGGCGCTCGGACCTCTCACTCGCACGCGTTGGTTGAATGCAGAGTGCGAGAGAGACAGAGCTAAAAACTGCAGTTTTGTGAGTCTTTTTCTTTCGTCCGTCATACAGCGAGATGCTGAATCTGCGTTGGTTGCCCTTTCGATTAAAAATGGTTTGACAACTCGCAGTTTGGGTGTTAATTTCGAAAAATCTGTTCTAAGTATATACCACGTGGCAGCTTTGCCTGTATGTCATGAAAGTCGTATAATATGTATATACTTTTATTTTTCTAGAGGCCGCTTCTAAGTCCCCTGATTGCCCCATCCAAAAACTACAAATTTCAAATCTATGCTGAATGTCTTTTCGCCTTAAAATGGTCTGGAAAACATAAATTTTTGTGTTTGTTTTGAAAAAGCCGTCCTATTAGACCAACTTCGCAGCCGCATTTCACGTAAATCGCAAAAATCGTTTGGTTGATATCGTTTTATAATCCTGGAATTTAAGTCTACCTTGGCCCTCTTGGAAAACTACAGATTCCGAATTTTTATTTGATGCCATCTCAATTAAATATAGTTCGGTGTACATACATTTTGTTTTTCATGCTGAGTCGTCCCTCCAAAATGTTCTTTATAGTAGAATCATCCTTGTGTCTACTAAATTATGTGGGGTGTTAAATTGGATTTGTTTTAACTTTTAATAACTAAGGAGGATTGTTATTTGTAATGTTCATTAACAGGGTAGTGAACAATTAATGGTATATCCCTTTTTTTATGTGTACTGGGACATACAATTGTATTCAAAAATATTTGTTATCAAGTTATTCCAAGAATACTAAATGTTATTTTTTAAAAGCTATTTGTAAAAGTTTGATAATTATTAATTTATGATCATTATGCGAGGTCTTTAACACATAAATATATATAATCTAATTGTTATTCATTGTATGATTAAATGTTTAAGCTCGTTCCCCATTGTTGACCCTGTAGTTTTATCAAAATGTTAAATTAGTTTTGAATAATATTATAGACCGTTGGTGGGTTATTGTCGGATAATATAAATTTATTCCTTAAAGCTGATTTGATTTGACTGTTTGGAATGCGCCTGTAGAAGATCTTAATACTGTTTGTAATAATTGTAGGGTTAGGGTTTTCTATTCTCATTTTGGTACAATATTTTTCAATATTTTATTCATCTTGTTGTTATTGCACTCTATTGATGCCTAAATGTTACATTATAAGATGTATATCACTTGCAGTTGATTTTTTTTTTGTTTTCATGAATACATTGTACTGTGATATAATCGTATATATTTACTCAATTTAGATTTATTTACTCAAAATAGTAAAAACAATAACTGTTTATGAAATCCAATATTTGCAAAAAAAAATTTTAATTATTATCAATTTTTATGGAATTATATTCATACTAGGTAGTTCAGAATTTTGTTTGTTTGTTTGCATTAATATAGTATGACATATCACTTATTAATATTTAATAATATTATAATCTTAATAATTATAATAATTATCATTCATCCATCTTGAATTAGGTATATCTGAAAAATAAATATTTTTGTTAAGACTCCTAGTAAGATATGAATAGGCAATATAGTATACAGGAATACGGTTACCTACCTTATCAGAATTGATAAGTGCTAAACGTCCGGGAGCGGCGGGAGCTATAACTTCACAGACATCAACAACAGTAATAATTCTGTACTTATATAGTAATAATACTAAATACTAAAAGTACTTGTCTCAGAGACGGATTTTTATTAGATTCTTTAAATTCAAATGTTATAAATAACGGATTTTTGAAATTAATTTATGGATCCTAACATTCCAAATCGTAAGTTTTTGTATAACTGTTGTGCTTGTTATACATCTGTTTGATAATAAGTAATAACATACTTTAGTTTATTATTTTTTGTATACCTACCAACTTTTGAACACCGAGTGGAAACTACCTATTTATCTTTGGTTTATAATTTATATATTTTAAAATTTTTAGATTGCCCAGGCACTGATAGCTCATCTGCCGGTCAAGTATCTGCATGCCAAGGATGTCCAAACCAAAATATTTGTGCATCTGGTGTAACTCAACTTCCTGACCCAGGCAAGTAAAAATATATTTCATGTTGTACATTTTCTTTTAACTCATATTTTAAATTTTTTTCTTGGATATTTAGCTTTAGAAGTGTTAAAACATCGACTGTCTTCAGTAAAGTATAAAATACTAGTACTGTCTGGTAAAGGTGGAGTAGGTAAAAGTACATTCACATCGTTATTAGCTAGAGTATTGGCCAATGAAAATGAACAGAAAAATGTAATGATATTTTTCTAATAATTTGTTACAATCTGATAACTTATTTATTTCCAATTGTTTTTAAATGTTTAGATTGGAGTCTTAGATGTTGATATTTGTGGACCATCACTTCCTCTTGTGTTTGGTGTTCAAGATGAAAATGTTTGTACTTTGTTTATTAAACATTTTTAGAAATGTTTTAATCAATTTCTTTAATTTCTAGATACATCAAAGTGGATCAGGATGGTCTCCTGTGGTAAGAACAATTGTATAGATACCTATATTAGTGACATTTAATAATTCAAAAAATGCTTATTAAAACTAAAATTAATTAAAATATTTTATATTATCATTTTAGTTTGTTGAAGAGAATTTATCAATCATGTCCGTTGGATTTTTGCTAGAAAGTAAGGATGACGCTGTAATTTGGAGAGGTCCCAAGAAAAATGGTGATTTGCATATAGTATTTTACTTCTTGATAACATTAAAAAATATTACAACTAGATTATTATATTTCCATAAATATTATTATTCTAGCTATGATCAAACAATTTTTGACTGAAGTTGATTGGGGTGACACATTGGATTATTTGATTGTTGATACTCCACCAGGAACTTCTGATGAACACCTTTCATTAGTTCAATTCCTTAAATCAACTGAAAACTTTTCAGCAGTCGTCGTAACTACTCCTCAAGAAGTGTCTTTGTTAGATGTCCGTAAAGAATTGGATTTTGCCAGAAAAGTTGGATTACCTGTATTGGGTGTGGTTGAAAATATGTCAGCTTTTGTTTGTCCTAAATGTAAAGTGACATCTGAAATATTTCCAAAAAATACTGGAGGTGCTGCTCAGATGTCACATGAAATGGGCGTTCCATTCCTTGGATCAGTCCCGTTAGATCCTTCTTTGGGACGATGTTGCGATGAAGGTGTCAACTTTATTCAAAAATATGCTAGATCACCAACAGTTGTGGCTATTAAAAATATTGTTGAAAGTAAATTGATACAATATACTAATAATTGAATATTTAAAAAAAATATTAATTTCTGCTCACCGATTGATGAAACATTTTAATTTTTCAGATTTAACCAGGAATTTACAATCAATGTGATTGAGATGTGAATTGTGATATGTTTATAATTATATGATACACTGTCTATATTATTTGTAATGAACATAAAATATTTGTTTACAAAAGAAATCCGAGTTTTCTAGTTTAGAAATTGTAGTAATATAAAAAATAATTATTAATTATTATTTTGTAACGATAAACAATATATTTTTTTGATTATACATTTTAATATTTTATTGAATTCTTTTTCTAAGTGATAAATTATTTAAATAAACCTAATTTTACATAGAGCATTGGCATGCTACTATCACATTTAGTGTTCATGGTCAAGAGAAAGTTGGTAACCAATCAAGATGTTATGACACAATGTTTTTATGATTATAAAATGTTAATGTGGGCTCCATATTATACCTGTTACCTACCATGGAATGAAACTAGTCAAATTTGATCAGTTTCTTTGTTTATTTACATTTATTGTATACAAACTTTTTAATTAACCACAAACATGAAGGTAAGACAATAATTTTTACTATTATTATTATTATTTCAATGTTATAACTTATAACATTTAAAATTTAAATACATTATTTTCACACCTTCAGTTACAGATTCTTCTATATCTAGCTTTATGGAGCATAGTATCTGTATTTGGTGCAAAATTTGAAGCTTTTTATCCAAGAGAAGCATATGGTGTGAGCAATGGAGCATCCAGATCACCTCATGGTCACGGATCATTCTACAAGTACCGAAACCCAGCTCTTGTAGATGCTAAAAATTCTCCCGCCTATGGATACAGATTTGACGGGAAAAGGCGTTTCAATTTTGATAAATAATTTATGTACATAATATGTATTTAAAACTAGTATGAATGTATTGTTCGTCAATATTAATAATGGTAAACAAATAGTAAGAAAAAGCAGCAAAATATAGCAATTCAGATAAAAGTACATTAACTATAAAGTAACAAATTAGCCAATTACTGACTGTATTATAGCAAGGATTTAACAATAATTAAATAGCATATAAAGTTCATAAAAAATTAAACTTATTAATTAGATCCTCTCTTAGTAAAAGAATCATTGTCTTACATTTGATACAGTCATAATTTTTAAATTTAAAGTATCATAAATTTATTTTAAAATAACAAGATTATTTTAGTGTAGAATTATTATTATTAGGTACGAGTGGTTTACTTTAAAAATATGTAAATACTGTTCATATCATTAGACCTGTAGATAATTATCTACTTTAATCTTAGGAGCTGGCCGTGAAAAAGGTGACAGCCAAGTTATAGAAACCCTGCCAAATACAGCTTGTAAACTTTTCCATTTAGATTTTTTCATCCACCGAGCTTCTTCTTTTTTTAATTGTTCAATACCCTAGAATAATTATAATGATTATAGGACATTAATATTATTATTAGTATTTTTTATGTTAATTTAATAACCCAATTTTCACACGGATAAATTACGAGAACAAGTTAACTTAACTGTAGATTAAATATTTTAAAATTAATAATATAAAATAAATGTTGTAACACATTAAACATTAAACATCATGTTAATTTACAAGTTATATATTTTTATATGTTTTTTTGTAAAGATATTGTTATATACTTATTACAATTATTTCTACAACCAGTTACTTGTTAGTTACAAGTAAAGATATTATTTATTATTGTTTTATTGTCATAATACTTTAGAACAAAAATTGATGGGTTTAGTATACAATAAAAATAAACTGTTCATATATTATGAATGATTAAAACAGAATGTCAACTCATCGAATACAATTTTTGTAGAAAGTAAACTAGTAAGTGACATAATTACCGTTTCATCGGAGCATATGGCTTGTAGCTGAGTGGCAAACATTACCATGGTGAATATTGCAAATAGCAATGCTTCAAAACCTAAAAATATCAAAAAAACTACTGTTGCAGGAGGTGTATACCAAGAACATTGCTTCCATTCAGAATGTAGACACCAAACAAATTGGCTGACACACAAGTATAATGCGTGCATTGACATAGCAGCAATATAAAGCTAAAGAATACAATTTTAGAATGGTTAAACATTGATACTGTACGTTAATAAGTAGATATTAATATATAATATAGATACCGTAAATAATACAAAAAACTTTTGGTTTTTCTCTCCAACACAATTGTTGACCCATGGACAATGATGGTCCATTTTTCTAATACATCTAAAAGTAATAACACAGTTTGACTATGGAGGATTATTTTATGCATTAAAATTATTTTAGTGGACCTTTGGCAAACAGAACAGTGATGGGCTCTTGAAGGTTTAATACAACAGCATTTTGGACACTTGTATATCACTTGACCCTCACGTAAACCTAAATGATGTATCATTTCTTTTGTAGCATTTCCTTTTGGAACTGCACCCTGCAAATTTCAATAATATGATTTAATTAGATTATTCATAGCATAGTATTACAAGTTAAATATTTATAGTTTGCATATATAAAGTGTTAAAATTCATGTAAGTAAACATAATACATAATAATATGTATTATAATACATCTGTATATTATAATATAATAATAATACAACTGTAATACTGTATAGTGTTAATATAGCATGTAATTATATTTATTATGTGTTAGCATTAAAATAAAAATCCAACATTATATCTTAGTGATAAAGAAAAACTTGATGACCATGCATTTTGTTACGAATTATTTTCTGACCTACTAAACTAAATGTATCAATAGGTTATGTTAATGTTTGTAAAAGTGTTGACCAAAAATTAAAATCAAAAATGCATTGAATAAATACAAGTAAGTACACTATTAAATTACAAAAGATACCTAATTTAGTTTGTACCTATTTTATATTTAATTGAATTATGTAGGTAGGTATATAGTATCATAACATTTAAAAAGTATAATGAGATTATATAAACGTACCGGATCTGTGAACATTGTGCGCAGATGAGAAGCCATCGCAAGGAAGGCAAAGATTTGAAATATCACCATGTTGACACACTGAAAAATGGGATACGGACATGGTAATAGTGTGACGAAAGTCACTACGAACTCAGCATACAGTATCAACAGCCACGTAAATATCGCACAAATAATACCACATATGTCCTGGTAAAACAAATAGTATGAACATCAATACAAGAAAATTGATTATATTATTGTTACCTGAATGCACCACATGGAACCACCACAGCATCGGTTGTGCGGGTCTACTCCTTGGTTTGGGTAAAAGATCACTTGATCATTGTCGTCCATCGCAGTCGCTTTTTGTGCCACCCGGAGGGTTGTACGCAATGTCGTTCATCACTCAAGTATCGGCGAAAGACCGTGAACTGATGATATTTGGACAGTCATCTCGGGTTGTCGTTGTGCTTTTATGGACTATGCAGCTGGTGGTGTTTATTAAAAATAGGTATTGTTAATAATTAAAACGATGACTGCTGCATATACGACGTGTCTTACAGATTTCGGAAGAAAATTAACGAGGACAACTAAGACTACAATTAATATATCGGACAAGATGATGACGAAGATGGGCGACGTAACTTCTATTAGAATTTAAAATTTAAAATTTGGATGCCTTTTTTTATCATCTTTCTTTATCGCGTGCGAAACTCTGATTTGTGTCTACTATCAGTCGCAGCATAGACGATCAACAGCCTGCTCCAGCCACGAAGATACTATAGACAATAGGGATGTTTATTGTTGTAATGTTGTATACTTGTATGCATTGGCGGCTATCCTCAAAATAATATTATATGCTGCTGAGGATATATTTCTGAGGACACACCACCCACCTACATTGGAGGGCAGGAGCTTCATTTGAGGTGTTGCAGGGGATTCGCCTAATAAATAACCCCGGAAAAAAGAACCCCAAAAAAATAACCCTATAATAAAAATGATTTGTAAGGTGCACTCGTGCACTAGAGGTACCTACCTAATAATTAATAATTTAAAACAAATTGTCAATTTTTTAAATCACGGTAAATAATAAGTAAAAAAAAATTATATATAATATTTATATTATCTATTTTATAATATTTTTCTTAAATTAAAAAATGTATTTATTATTTTTTTATTTCTTTTAAATTTATCACATTTAAAATGTATTAACTATAATAATTGATTACAATGATGTGTTTTTTTTATAAGCATTTAAATTTCAAATTTTGGCAAAATACAATCCATAAATTTCACCGTATTAATAATAAAAACCACCTGTAAGATAAAAGTAAATAATTCACTTATTCATTTTGAAACACCTTATTTATACTATACAGACGGCGACAAGATTTTTATGTAGGGACGAATACATTTTTTTAGTACCCAGTTATAGGTTTATAGGTACCTACCCAATTATATATATATTTTGTTCATGATGTTCTTACTGTTCATAGTGTTCATACCTATTCAATATCACCACTGACCTACACACCCATCCACCCTTGAATTTGACTAGGGTGGTCAGTGGTTGCCCCAAAAAATATCCTTCGCCACGCCACTGAATTACTATATATATAGTTTATAAATAATCAATAATTATTATTCATACACTTATTCATTATTACGTCTTATTAATTTGCAAAATCTCATATGGGGTTATATTTTCCGTTGTTATTTTTTTGCGGGGTTATTTTTCGGGGTCTAAATTTCCGGGGTTATTTTTTTGCTGTACTGTTGCAGGGTATGCTTATGCATTATACCTAAAATTGATCAAGATTGTATTTTGGCTTGAATATAATTTTTTTATATTAAATATTTTATCTGTGGTTGAGGATATCAGGATTTGTTTTATAAACACCCTATTTATGTTCCTACTAATAATGTAATTTAGAATTTCTGGTCTCTCGCACGAGTTCGTTACGTTTAAATTATTTAAGTAGTAATTTAGTATAATATTCATAATATATATTGTGATTATCACATGAAAATATGAAGATTCAAATTTTTGAGCCTAGCGAGAATAACATTTTTTTGTAATAGCCCTATAGTACAATATTGAATATATAATATTAGCTCACTGAAAATTTGTTTGGCCTTCCTAGTTAAAACAATCCTTTTAAAAAGTTGAAACGACACTCCTGATTGAGGGTAGCTGTATCTAGTTGAAAATATGAAAACTGGATAAAAATCTTCTTAAATTAATAGTTTTGTTAAGTGGGCTTTAGCCCCCCCTCCCCCTCAGAATCTAAACCCTAGTTACGCATATGAGCATCTGTGTAGGAGATATGACCAACGACCAGCCCAATGCTTGCCAAGTACCATTTACCAACATTGGCCAAGTAAGCTAGTAGTGTAGCGCTCAGATCTTAAATGTATAAGTAGCTAGGTAGTACCTATAATTGTATAATTCCTATACCGGATTGCGCAGTTGTGTTGTTTTATTTTAAGAATATTATTTATTTTTATTATTTTCACGTATTTCCTAGATCATAATATCTTCTAATATTTTCCAACAACAATGTTTTAAGTATTTACTCATATTTTCCACACAAATTTAAAAAGGCGTTTCAATAATTGGAGGTCGATCTGAAGATTTAACCATTATCTAAAAGATAAAAAATCTACAAAACCTGCAGACTCCCGATATTTCGGCAATAGCCGTGATATATTGTGACATAACAAGTAGATATAAGTACTAATAGGTAATTGGTTTAACTAAGGAGAAAATAGGAAAGTTTAGGTGATAGTAGAAAGAGAAGAATGTCAATTAAAAGCAATAATATCAATATCGGTGCATTTTTTGGGCACAACATTTCGTTGCAAGAATTGGATTTTCAAATATAGGTACTTAGGTATATATTTTTATGATAGGTGGTTTTTCATCTTTTTAATGTATTTTCTGGGAATATCAGTATTTTTTTTACACCGAAGATTTTAATGATTTATATTATAAATACCAATGGTTATTATTATTGCTATAGGTACATATACTATTATAGTATTATAGGTATTATATTATGACTTTCGTCAGCATCGTTAAAATTATTGTTATACCAATCAGGTTATACCTGTCTTGTGTTATATTGTAAGTACTAAGTAATAGATATTACCTAGCTACCTACTATTATTAATTTATTATTATTATACATCATACGGTAATAGTATAATATATTAAATATTTTGTGCTGTAGCTCGTATTGAAGGTATTGACAGGTAACTATTTTATATATTTTAAAGTCTCACTTCCAACCACTTCGCCGCTACTGAACCTAAATACTTTTGGCATACATATTTCAAATGCATAAATTAAGAGCCTTTTGAAGGATGAAGACCTGTACGACCTATATAGAGGGAAAATTTGAGATTATTCTAATTTTTTTTTCATTCCTTAGTGGCCAATAAAAAAAGAAAGCTGTACACCAAATATCGTTAAATTTTATCAAGCCGGTTTTTCTCTATATTGTTTGAAGGAAAATAGATACAACCCTACATAGGTACCTATTATGCGTTTAAAAAATATCTGCATTTATATTGCTCCCCAAAATATTTAGCTACCATGGTTTCCGCTTAACGGCTTAACCATATTTAAGTGGAATCCCGGAATAAAAATCCCCCGGAAAAAAAATCCCCGGAAAAAAAAACCCCCGACGAACAACCCCGGAAAAAAAATCCCCGACCCTAGGAAAAAAAATCCCCAGACTACAATATTACTCACAACCTCATGCAAATGGTTGAACAAATATTTTTTAAACGTTAATTATAGTATCTATAATTACGTGTTCTTCTTTTGGCAATTCTAATAATATTGCATGTGGTACATTACTCACAGACTCAGCAAATATTTGACTCGGTGTTGCATGTGATATTTGTGCTTTTTTCTTCGTTGTATTTTGTAATTTTAAAGCAGCGACTGCATTTTTATTAGAATCATGTACATGGTCATGATCAAGACCAACAAATATTGGATTTTAAATATTTAAACTAGTCTTAAGTACACTCGGACATTTTAAAGAGCTAAATTTAGAACATCGCCAACGTAAAAAATTTGAACACTCTTTTTGAAAATGATAAATAAAGCCGATGTGCGTAATTTTAGGTTTTTTACCATTAGTTTTTAAAATTTCCAGCGTTTCCATAGCGTAGTCGTTTTGTACTTGTGTATCGTGTAATACTAAATTTGTAGCTAAATTTGTAGCTAAGATAACGAGTATCCAAATTATGTTCGTGAACCCATTACAGATTAGATAGGTAGGTGTAACCTTTTACCTTATATTATATATTATCAAAGGTATATACTAAACCGCTTATCGTCAAAATGTCACAGAAAACGCAATATTTTATTTCGGGGATTCAATTTTTACAGAATTATACCAACATAAAATATATAGGTACCTATATTTTGTATAATATTTTTGTATACTATATGTTTTACTAAGTTAAACTGTATTATTAATTGACGTATCGATCATTCTAAATATTTTTATAATTTTTTTAACAATATAATATAGTATATTATATTATAATAGAATATAATATACGTATTTGTCATTAAATATTAATTATAGATACTAATTAACGTTCAAAATATATTTGTTCAACCATTTGCATGTGATTGTGAGGAATATTGTAGCTGGGGATTTTTTTTCCTAGGGTCGGGGATTTTTTTTCCGGGGGATTTTTATTCCGATTACCTTTAAGTGTGCTGGGTATTATAACTTACAAGCATTGTATGGTCGACCATTTTTGTTTCTTTGAATTTTTAAGCTTGGCTTGCAGATAGACCGACTAACAAACCGATCAAAAATACGAATATTATAAGAAACTGCTAAAAAATAAGCGATTGACGAATTTTAAATACCTACCTATCAAGAAACGCATATGAAAAAGAAAAATATTTTCGATGATAGTCCAGATTCTGACGAAAGTATTGCAACTAATTTTTAGGTGACCATCTACATGACTACATATTATGTTAGTTTTGGATAAAATTATGCCTATAAGAGCTTGAAAAAATAAAAAAAAAGGCTTAAAAAACTAAAAAGTATCAAATTTTGCTTGCTTGACAACAAGTGTAGACGTGTAGTAGAGGTGCACGATATGGTCTAAGTACCTACTTCGAGAAATATACTGAGATCATTGATTTTTAATGAGATTTCGCATGTAGGAGAAGACGGATTAACTCTTCATAACTTTTCAATATTAAGGCTGATTTAACAAGAAACCTAAATTTCAATGACATTATTGTAGATTTTGTCTGACAAAAGTCAAGGAAAAAATTATGAATTTGCTATTAGGACTTTATATTATATTTATAAATGAATTGTGTATTGACATAGTGTATTTAATACATGTCCTTGTCTTATACACTTTTAAAATATTGGTACCTTAATCATAAAAACATTATTATAAATATAATTACTGTGCCATGTTAATATTATTTGCGGGGGGAGTGGCAGCATCAAATTTATTTCACCCCGAGGCGCATATAATATAATATTCTAAATGCCCCACTGAACGAATGTCGTAGAACGGTGAACATTGTGTGTGGTAATCCAATTCCAGTAACGAAAAAATAGAATGTTGAAATTAAAATGCATGGTCGACCGTGGAGAAGTGATAATATTTTATCGATGAAAATTATACATAAATGTTTGTCCCGGTTTAAGTTAAATAAAATATGACAACACGCTATACACTATATATGTGCATTTGCCATTTCATATGAATATTTTGTTGGCGTTAGGAAATGATACAATAACACTGAATAATCAACAAAATGTTTGTACGACTTTTTATTCGATTTAGAAATGGAATGGTATTTAAATGTAGGTACCTATTTAAAATACGTGTTTACCATTGGAGTGAGTGGTATTCTATAGTTACAATAAGAAAATAGTTAAAATACTTAAATATAGTGTGTTAAAACTGGATGACGTATGAGGAATGGTACGATTTTTACTTAAAAATTAAGTTTTTTAAATTATACAAAAAACGTTCGTCCAGGTTTAAGTAAAATAAAACATGGCCACCTTATGATAAGGTTAATCATAATTCATGACGCATATTATGTTATTATAATTTCTAAAAATACGTATAGTCGTCCAAGTATCATTAACATTAAACCCAATTGAGTATATAACTGCAATTATGCATAATATAAAGTTCAATCAATAAACGATGAACTCCCCTAAAATAAATAGTTGTAAACGTGCTTGAATTGGAAAAAAAATAGAAGGGGTATTCAAAAGTATAAACATTTGTGCGTCCCCCCAACATTATCACCTTATCAATTCTTGAAATTAGAAGGGGTACGCTAAAATATTTTAAAAATAGAAGTTGGACTCCGTCCCCCCGCGTCCCCCCCCCAATTCAACCACTGGTTGTAAAAGTACAAATAAAGCTAGAACAGATTCTGCAGTGGCCGAGTGTTATACTCACCTGGGTGAAAACTAGTGAATATAGCATAATATGCTATTAAACCATATGTATTACATTTTCAGTTCATATAATAAAGACATTTATTGCCACGTTTAGATATTAAAATAATAAATTATAAATAAATGTCTTTTTGAAAAAATAAAGTGCTGTAAGTACGCTAAATGATAAAAAACAAAACATTTTTTACGAAAACACAAAAATGTACTTGAGGTATATAATACTATATGTACACATAACAAATGTAATGAGTGTTTTGTTTTAAATAAATCTGCATTCAGCTGCAGTATACGTGTAATATAGTTCTATTTTTTTATAATATAATATATTATACTTGTACTATGTATAGGTATGTTGCAGTTTCTGCAGTTGACGGCGCAGAAATCCAATTTTGCTCGTATCCAAATTCGATGTAGGTATATAATATATATAAACATTATGACCATAATATATTTCGTTATCGTATTTATAATAATATTACATATAGGTACAGGGTAATTCTTTTATCGCGGACTAGACAATATAATATATTTGGTTAATCCAATACCTAATAATATTGTGTAAGGAATTATATTATATTTCTTTTCTAGTTTCTAGAACAAAAATACTGAAGTCATAGAAAATGTAAAACAGTATGTCCACAAACTTTTGAAAATTCCTTTAACCTATTTACCGAGATATTGTCTGCGGATAAAAAAATTATACCTTGTTTATTATATTATTATGTGCCATGTACTATTAGATATGTGTACAATGTATATACTATATATATATATATATATATATTATATACCACGCGGTTGTAACTCTATATCCGGAAGATTGTGATGGCTCTGTCAAATGAGTTAATCTTTTGGCAAAGCGCTGTCGCTTTTACCACGGGCGTACGCCTTTACAACAGCCGTCTTGCCGCCCAACATCCGGTCTAGCAAAGATTGTTTGTTCTTCCGCCGGACACTCAACACCTCTCTGCAAACTTCGAGGAACACCTCGGCGATCTGTCCCACTTGTTCGGCGGCCGCCACTTCAGTGAAACAACATTCGAAATCTTTCGCCAATATTTCACCTGTAGCACCACAAGAATATACTTAAGAAATGAAATGGTTGTTGGTCAGATATATTAACATAACATTTATTTGAATATTTTTATAATATATACGTCCTATTTGTTTTCATTGTTGTTCAAAATATTGGAGTGATCAACTAAAAGTTTAAATTATTTCCAATGAAGTGATTTTTTTTCAACATAGGTACTGAGTTCGAACAAATGAAATTCAAACATTATATGCATATTGCTTTATTATTAAAGCGTTACGTTACCTCAGGGGTCCCTCAAGGTGGTCATCTTTCTCCAATTCTATTTGCTATTTTTATTAACGGCTTGAATTCTGCTCTTAAGCACTGCCGTTTTTTGGCTTTTGCTGATGATGTTAAATTATTTTCATGCGTCAACTCCATTGATGATTGCATACGCCTTCAGAGTGAATTCAATTGTTTATCCACCTGGTTAGAGAACCATGGACTATACCTCAACATCAGCAAATGTCAGATTATGTCCTTTACTAGACGCCAAGCTACTATTCTATTCGATTATTCTCTTAACAACCATTCCATAACGCGAGTTACTGTAAAGAAAGATTTGGGTATCCTTCTAACTTCCAACTTAGACTACCACTCCCACATTGAGCACGTCACCTGTAAATCTTTAAAGACATTAGGTTTTATAAAACGCTTCTCTTCTAATTTCAATCTAACCTATTCTCTCAAAAATTTATACTGTGTGCTTGTAAGGCCGATAATAGAATATGGTTCCATTCTTTGGGATCCTTATACAACCTCTGACTCTTCCCTACTTGAGCGTGTTCAGCGTAAATTCCTTAATTTTGCATCCTTTTGTCTTAATATCCGTCATGAACCTCACGATTATTCCCCAGTCTTACACCACTTACAACTTAGTAGTCTTTCCGATAGAAGAGTTTTTGCCAACATTATCTTCCTAAATAAACTTACGAATGGTACCATAAATGCTCCCGAGCTTCTCGCTGAGGTAAACTTTCGTGTTCCAAGTAGGTCTTCCAGGCTAACGGCCCCCTACTACGTTCCTCGACACACCACTAACTATGGCCGAAACCACCCTATCCACCGAATGATGCGTTTAGCAAATGAGAACCTCTCGAGTCTTTAATCTTTAGTCTTTGTTTTATATCAATATTATTATAATGTTTTGTCTGTATCTTATTCCATTAACTGTACTTTGGGCTAGTCCCGTAATGTAAAATAAATAAATAAATAAATAAATAAATAAATTATGTAGGTATATATTATATTATTATATTAAACAACCATACCCCATGTAATGTGTACTTTGTATGTAGATATACCTACGGTTGTTGTTCTTTTATGGTCTATATATGAATTATATAGAAAAAAAATAATTATGTCCCGCTGTATAGATACACGTCATTTAGTAGCTCACTTTTTTCTATATCAATTTAGGCATACCTTCTTCTGTGCTGACTTGTCTGAGATGAACCATATCTGCCTTGTTGGCCACCAGCGCCACGGGCATTTCGAAAGTGTCCAACATAGTTTGTTTTACTCGGCGAACGTAATTAAACGAACGTCTATCTGTTATAGCAAACACCAGCACAAGCGCGTCCGCCCAATTGTAAACGTCGTTCAAAGGTAACTCTTCGTCATTCTATAAAAAAAAAAAATTTAGGTACCTATACAGAACAATACATTTACAGACAGACGACAGACGAGTGAGATAATATATAATTCGAAATTGATTATATGATACCTAACCCCGGTATATCTACCTACCTATATCTCTATTATTTGTAGGCACACAACGTTTTCAAGTTTTCTGGTACATTATACTATTATTATATGGTGTTTATTAGTTATTATACTAATAATTTATTTTTTATCATTTTCCTGCAGAGTGGAAATCAAACAGAAAAACAAATATAACAGGATCCTTTAACACATGATAAACCACCTAAAAGTACAAACTTGCCCGAGTATTTATATGGTTTATACGCAAGTTCAATGTTCTTTGTAGGTATAAAAGTATAGTGATAGTATCTAGTGAGCAGTGACTATAGTGTAAAGATATAGTTTGTTCCTGCTGGGCATAAAATGTTAAAAAAGTTAAAGTTAAGTTGAATTTTAACTTATCTTTTAACGTAAGTAATTGATTTTTTATTGATATTATGATAAACTTAAAAATTAACAAGTTACTTTCAGTCAAATCCAAGTTACGTTTATTAATAAAATGATTACTGATGATATAGGTACATTATAGGAAATTTAACATATTTTAATGTTCTTAAAATTACTTCTTTTTGAGTTTTGCCGTTAGCAACATTATTTTCAATAAAAGTCACTTATTTTTGATACCATATAAGACCATTTATTTTGTTACTAACTATTGGCTATTTGTATGTTAAAAATATTAACTCAATTTAAGATTCGTGTAGTAAGTTAGTTGTTGGTTTCTCAGTAAGTCTGAAATGACCAAATTAAAAATAAAATTTGTAAGATATCATTAACTTTCCCTTGTTCATATATTATTGGGAGTATACAGTAGGTACATATTATAGTGACTGAAAAAGCGTCAATAATTTATTACCAACTCCAATTATACCACGCAGATGTCGGAGTTTTGGAACAGTGAACCTTAATAATAATCTATAAGTATTAAGTAGGTACTTAAAACTACACAATATATTCGATTTAATAAATTTTGTCGAAAACCGAACTTTAAACGCTTAAAAAAAAAATTGTTCTAACTAAAGTTGATAATCAAAACATTATTTCGACTACTTACAGTAGTAAGTACACAGGTTACAGACATAAAAAAAATAAATAAATAAACAGAAAACACATTATGAATCTCCGCTCAGAATCTAAAATTTAATTTCTCAGGGAAATATTTAGGTTCAAATTCTGGTTGAATCATATAAATATACATTAATTTTAATTATGATAAATATTTTAGTATAATAGAAAAAAAAAATCAAATTTAGACACTGCAGCTGTACAATGTCAAAACACAGTAAGTAACACTGTTTTTCATTATTTTACAGGATAATTAATTTAGTAAATTATTTCAGACTTAACACTGTGTAATTGTGATAACTATAAATGTGATAACTTCTGAAATAAAAGTGCAATTCCAAAAATTTTTTGATAGAAAAATTTAGCACGAAGAGTTACCAAAGTGTTTGTAAAAAAGTTACTTTTGATAAGAGTGTTGGTTACTGTGTTTTTGCATTGTACAGCTGACTGGGGTGCAAGGATAACCCACCTACTGACTACTGTATATAATATTATATTACAGGTATTCCACGTAATTAGATAATTTTATTTGCCATAGTATATAGAAAGGTAATGTACACACACCCACATTTTACGTTCAGATAAATCCATTTTACTCATTAGTTATTTTTAATGTCAGAGTGAATTGACTGTAATATTGATAATAATACTAGGTAGGTAATAACTTATTACAGTATAGTCATAATATAAAATTTATAGGTATGAAATAAGAATATTATCATATTATTCAGTCATGGGTCCCACATCATAATATGATTTTTATAATATTTTAATTTTGAAGCCATAATTATGAGAATTTTAAAATTGTAAATTGACCCTGAAAAATATTCTTAATATAGGTTTGTTAATAACTAATAAGTAAATTCACTCTAAATACAGAATAAAATGCTGATGAGTTCTTCTAAACGTGAAATTTTCTATGTTATGCCTTAGGTAGAAGACGAATACAACACATGTAGTACCTACGACGTCCTCTTAGAGGCCCGGTGCCAGTTTTTCAAATTTTCCGAAATTCAATAACATTTTATATTTTAGTTGCCACCTCAATTATAATACTTCCACTAATATACTACCCGATACCTATTTGGGAGGGGGGGTGATAGAGTGTATTATATCGAAAAAAATCACTTCACGGGAATAATTCTCAGGCTTCATAGAATTGTCGGATTTTGATTGATTTTTTTATCTGAAAAAAGAAGACTTTCTACAGCCCTCATCGATCTCTGATTTTGTATTTTATTTTAAATAATTGTATTAAAAAAATTGTGAAAAATGCTTTTTATCTTGTATTTTTTTAGGCATATTATAAAGGTTGAGAATAAAATATTGAAAAACAGAAATCGATGCGGGCTGTAGAATATTTTCCTCTAGAAATTAAAAAAAAAAATTATGAAATTTGGTTGATTCTACAAGGCGGTATCGTTATTCCCGCAGAGTGTATTTTTGAAGACAAAATGGAATCGGCATCGGGCGCCTTAAGAATATATTAATAATCATACATTCATACGTACTTTTGGACAGGTGTCTAGTATCTCGAAAAGAATCGGTTCGCTGTCCACCATCACTTCATGCTTGTACCTCGTTTCTGTATTGCAAACGAATTCGATCAATCAATAAAAATTATTTTGCTATTTATTGTTATCTACCTGTTTATATTTCAATTACCAAAGTTCCTTTTTAACTTAACTAGTTTATTTGTATTTTAACTAACTTAATAACTTAAATAGTAAAATATTTCATGATAACAACTTGTAAGTTATTATAGCTTTGTGCTTATGCTCATAGGGCTGCAACTATATTTGAAGTTAATATGAAAAATATTATATGATAAGTTAAAATCATGATTATACGTCACATCAATAACTGCATAGTTAAAACTAATTAATTATTTTTTTTTTTTTTGTTTAATAATGCTGTGCGCAATAGATGAAAATAACCAAATAAAATATATTCGTTAATAGTAGGTACCTAGTTTAGTTGTCACAGATGTTTATTTTCCTAATCCCCTAAAGTTGTCGTGTTACTTAATAAGAAAGGTAGAATAGAATGAATGTTTAACCAAATATTTAGTTATTATTCAAAAAGTTTCACAATCACGATTGGTATGAGGGTGGACCTAGCTGGTATTAAAAAAAAAAATTAATATTTTCCCTGCATTATAACTTAAAACTTTTAGAGCTAAATGTATTGTTTATTAACTATTAACTTTTATCTCAAGGTTCTTATTTTAACTAACTCAAATTAATTGTTTTCATTAACTTCACCTTTGTAAATTACTAATAGCCAATAGCCAATAGGTACCTAAAGTAATAACATACCTAAATATCAAATATAGACATACGTATAGACGTGAACTGTACTTATTTATGAACACATTATGTACGTATTTAGCAGTTTTGAATGTCAAATTATTTCTCAATATTTCATATTAAATACATAAATTATTGTGATTTGTAAACTTGTGCAAGATGAAACATTAAAGTCTATACGGCCTTAGCTTATTGTATATTATAGGATTCTCATTTCATTGTGTACCTACTATGCAATCTCATCAATATTTTGTTTGGCCTTCAAAAGTTATTTTTATCCTTAAACGTTTTTACAAAGTATTCGCATTAGTATAACATAAGTTTAGTACCATATAATTATTACAGAAAAAGACAATTTAAATAAACACAATATTATAAATTATTTAGATAGTCTAATTTTATTTTAGTACCAGTTTATAATTATTTTTTTTTTTTTGCAGAATAATTTAACCGTGAGTTTTCTGGGCTGTAATTCTATTTTTGCATTAATTTTCAAATTAAAACTTACCAGCTTGGTGGTCATATTCGCCAATATATCTCTTTGTTAAAAACCGCACGGTCAATGCTAAAAACAAGAGAAAAAAACAGTTAATTTATGTTAAGACTAGTTACAACTTCTACGTTCATAAATATTCATTAAAGCAGAAATTTAAATCTATGTTATTTAACGAAGTTTAAGTCTATCATTATGAAAAACTTGATTTGTCATGACTTCCTATTAATTAACACTTTTGATAAATTAAAAATGAGTACAGGTTGTCTAATGGACTATACCTAAACGTCAAATAGGTACATTATTATAATATTGTATGTGGTTTCTTGTGATTTGAATTTCATTTTTTAAGAGGACGCCACACCCGCATGTTGTATCTCCGCCTTACAAACGTAGTATACGTACACACAACAAATTTGTGTTCAGCCTTCAGCAGTTCCAATTTTGAGTAGTTAGCTACATCAATATAAAGTGAATTGATCTATAGTAAAACTCAAAGGTAAGAAGATTATCTGTGCTTCATCACGAGTTTTATGTTTTAACAATATTCACATTTTTAAGCGAGGTATGATAATTTTTAAATTGCCATATTTTACATATCTACTCTGCAGTAGGTATAGGTAGGTACTCATAACTTGCATGAAAATTTAAATTTAAATTTCATAAAAAACCCACGTTAAAGCACAGATTAATAGATAACGCTTATACATTTAAGTTTGATAATAGTTCAATTTTTCCTATTATTAATAAAATTATTATTTATTATACACAGTTGGAACTGCCGGTTACACATTTGCTATATCACATACGTTCTCAACACATTTAAGAATTGGATAAGCGAAACTTATCCGTTCAATTTTCAACTTGCCCAAAAAATACGTACTCGACTGACAAATGTATTAAATTTGATAGGTACCATTGATCCCGGAAAACGTATTCCATAATTTTGATGTAAATTTTTGGATATAAGCCATTTGTAAATAGAAAAAACATATAATTTCAATATTAACGCCACGTCCAAGACAAATATAAAGCACGTGTCCAACAAATAGTATTAGGTGTATTACACTAAATATAACACATTATAATAATAATAACAATATGCGCAGCTGAAGTTATTGGGAGAGTTGATATTGTTGATATAGTCATCATTATACGTCTCGACCATATAAGCGTGCGCAGACTTGGCTGATAAGATTCTCCTCAAAAATATAAATTACCCTAAATAAATGCTCGTGCTATTGCCTTAAAAATATTTATGATAACCATTTATGATGTCACTGCCTCGTATTATAGTTACCTAGAAAATAGAACAGGTTTTTCAACATCTATTTTCTATGTGAAATTGGGAGACAAATTTTCATAAACAGGTATTTATTGAAAAGGATATAATTTTGTAACTCTATATTGTCAAAAACATATTATATTTTATTCTATTATTTTTTTTTCTGAAAATTGTTGTTTTGGAACTTTGAGAAAAGTATCTACCACCAGCCCACAGGGTACCTATGCAATGTCATACCCTGCATACTATGTGCATACGCCTATACTTATATCATTACGACATTACATACATTATCCGGTTATTAAATTATATATTATACTAGTCTTTCGGAACTCTTTGGATATTATCGAAATATGCAGTGGAAAAACAACTGCGATTTCTTCGCACAGTTATTAATATTTAGTGTATTTATATTTGGATTCGAATCTCGAAAAACACTCGTTTCTCGACCAGGGTGAGATACATATTCATACGTCGACCTACTCGGCTACTCATCTACATTCCACTATTCCAAACTATACTCCTAGTCGATACCCACCCACCCACTGACTTGAGTCTCGGGACTAAAAAAAATGTACTGGCTCTGAATTTTCGCTGTACTTTAATAATATAAATATCGGCGTTATTCCCAACGTGCAGCCAAAGTTCAGAGCCAGGACTCAAGTCAGTGGGTGGGTGGGTATGGACTAAGAGTGTAGGGTGGAATAGTGGAATGTAGATGAGTAGTTGAGTAGGTAGGTTTTCAAACTAAAACCTTAAACTTTAACTTTACATTTGTTGTGTGGGTGGGTGGATAGGTAGAATACTAACCTAACGGAATCAGTGTGATATTATATTGACTCCCGTATATGGAAGTACATACTGTCATATTATATCATTAATAATTATACAAATAGGTTATGCATGTGTATAATATATATAATATAATATATATAACATGTACAATATACATAATAATATTATATAACATACGGGTGCTGCTCACCGCTTTTGCCGACTCCGGGAGCCCCCAAAACCGCTATCTTCACTTCGGTGAGCGACGATTTTTTCCGCCGGATTCCTCGGATGGGATTAGCCGACATTCCGTGGCGGCGTACGATATAATAATATTATTATTATAACTTTTAGATTGGTACGTTTACCACCGTAAGACGAGCGCACATGCACTGTGTATAATAATATTATAGATAATATTACGTATAATATTGTATTATAATAATATGACGGGCACTACACACACACACGACTTGTGATCAATTGATCAATATAAGTTTCACTATAACGTTCAAATTATATTATTATGTATTCGCGGCAGAAGACGGGCGAGACGGATCTCGGTTTTCCGAACGGTCGTAAAGGTCTGGCCGGGTGTTATAATATTATAATATCATCGTCGTCAGTGTTATAATACAGACTCGCGCGTTCGCGGCAACGGTCGACGATAATCGAGCCCGTCCGAGGGAGGGAATCGCCGCTCGCCACGCACAATAATAATATAATATAACACAGTAAATAGTGTATATAATAATATATTATTGTGCATGTGTGTGTGTGTGTGTACGGGCTTTGGAGCTCTTAGTTTGTAGGTATATAATGTGTGTGTGTGTGTGTGTGTGTGTGTTTATACGGCGATGTAATATATATATGTATAAATTGGATATTATAAAAAAAAAGCAGCGCTCTCGCTACTGCGCCCCGCGCGAGTTCTAAAAATAAAAGCCCGGTGCCCGGTCTGGCGGGCACGCCAGCAGTCGCTTCCGTCCCGCGCCGATTACCCGAAGCGCGCGTGCCTAAGTACGCCGCCGCGTCTGTCCCAGACGTTTTTCTTATAACATTATTTAATTACTACTTATCGTGTAAGTACGCGTTGCGATATCTTGTTTTTGGGCTAATACAACAGTATAAGAATTCAGTAGCGATGGGCAATCAGCAGGTCATTGACAAATATATTATAGTATTGATTACTGGAGTGTTTATTTGGCGAGGGGCGGGGGGGGGGGGTTACTTGAAAGTCTTCATAGTATAACGTAAAAATATAAAATATGTGAGTGCGAGTAGGTATGTGACATTTCGACAAAACGACTAAGTATGAATGTATGATACATCAACACGATTATAACGATGGCAGACAGATCCGTGGTTCATGTGTTAAAACAATATGGAAAATGGATGATTTCCTGTAAAATATAATATCGTTATTAATGCAAAAAATGACAAAAATAAAGTAGATTAGTAATCGGTTAGCCGGGAAGAAATGTCACCTATATGGCTATATAGGCATATCGCATATATATATAGCTTAGATTCGAGTAGATACCTAAGTGCGTTTATGAATTAAGATGCTACAATTGGGTCGATCCGGTTCCGTGAACAATACACCTCGTCATTGGCCATCATTGTCAACTTGAACATGCAATATGATAGCAATTTTGTTTTACTATGTGACCATTAGCTAAACCCTGTGGCAGTCGAATGATTTTGTCAGGTGGTGGATTTTTAAACTGATGAATATAATTTATGATTATGAGATTTTAAACATTGAAAAAAAGGTCATTTTGGGATCCATCCATAGGCCCAAATTCAACTTTTGACTTGGGGGGGGCTGAATATATTAAAAGCAAGCATACTATTGCAATATAGCATATTAAAACTGTATGTCCTAGGTTTTTTAGGGGCTACGGCTAAGTTTGGGGGGGACTTAGCACCCCCAAGCCAACCCCCCCAATTTTCGCCCATGGATCCATCCCCTTCATACCTGTTTGATCTTCCACTGGCTGTCGGCTGAACCAGCAGCCATATTATTCCTATGGACAGTATGACACGTTGTAGTTAATGAATGTTTTTTGTCTTAACAAACTAAGAAAGATTGCAAAATCTTATAATTGATACAAAAAAAATATACCCTGTATAGTAGTGTATAGTGTATATACATATTATTATAGCGTACCCACAACCAACATGATAATTTATGTGTGAGAGTGCAAATTATTGTGTATACAACAGAAACGCCCTCAATGCGACTGTGGCATTTAAGCGAATATTTTTGATAAGTTTAAAAATAAACAATAACACTTCTTATTGCTTTTGTTTAAAAATATAATGAATCCCTCATATTATAATAAAGTATGAATGGTAGCCTGTAGGCGTAGGCCAGTTACCGTTTGCCCACTGCATATAGTATACAGAGTGTAACAGAAATACCTGACGAATGAAATGATTTGTGTTCTAATAAATATTTATTTTTTTTTTATAAAAATGTATTGACTCTTGTGCAGTTGTGCTAAGCGTATAATATAACATTTATTTTATTTTATTTTATTAATACTAATACCAGTATAATACCTAATAGGTACTGAAAATAAGAAGTTTAAAATCTGATTTAAATATTTTAAGAAAAATTCAAAATTGTCAATTTGTATATTACCTATCTACATTATCATTATTATCTAAATTATCTACATTATCTAGTTTTTAGAAAACTTTTGATCGTAAAATCATTTATAAAAGTCAAATGGCTTATTAGTTATTTATGATGGTTAGGTTAACTTCTTACGACTTTTTTGGTGAAATTATGTTTCTACGACTTTCGAGGGCTGAGAACAATGCTAAGCGCGAAAGCATATTTTAGACTCTGAGTGAAACAATGAATGTATTGATTTTACAATGATGGGTGTTTTTTTTTTAATTTTTGTGTCTGTGTAAACGATAAGTAGTCGAAATAATGCTTCGATTTTCAACTTCAGTATCTTGTTCGATTGGAAAGTGAATATCGTTAGTGCATTGAAGAGGTCAAAATTTAAAATTCCCAGTAATTTACCAAAGCCCCAAGAAAAACAAAAGAAAAATTAAGGAAAACAGGAATTTTTACGCCAAATTGATTTTTCACAAAATTGAATTTGATTTTTGGTGTAACTTTAAAACAAATTACCGTAGATACATGACATTTTCAATGGTTGTTTATATTTACATTTTCTATACACGACAACATTTTCAAATTATTTAGATTTATTTTGAACTGTTTAGGGACATTTTCATTTTCCATTTTTTTTTAGTCTTTTTTCTATGAATGTCAATAAAACTTTATTTGTGGGTTAAAAAAGCTTGAAAATGTAATAGAAGGCTCCTAGTGTATTTTTTCAAAGGCAGATGAAAAATATTAAAAATCCTTAGTCACAGTTTTTTTTATAAGCATTTAAAGTTCAAAAATTGACAAAATATGGAAAAATCACGAAAATTAGCAAAATTTTTTTGAGTTAAGAATTCGTAAAAATTTTTCTTTTTAAATCTAAGATTTTAAAATGTAATACAAGATTCCTTATAAGATTATCTACCTTTATCAAAAAAAAAAATGTCTATGAGAAAGTCAAATTTAATTTTTATGAGCCTTTGCAATTCAAATTTTTACAACATTGGATATTCACTCAATTCCTCATGTAGCGATTTCCTTATTTTGCTGTAATTTAAAAACGAACAACTGTAGATACATGAAAATGTCACTGAATGTTTATATTAGCATTTCCTATACACCATACAATTTTGAAAATATTTTGACTCTTTTTGAGCTGTTTACGGATATTTTCATTTTTCAATTTTTTTAGTTTTATTTTCTATAAATATCAATTAAGTTTCATCTGTTGGGCCAAAAAGTGATTTGAAATATTTAACAAAAGTTTAATAATATAGGTACTTTTTGAATTTAAAATGTTTTTATACTTTACTTAACAAAAATAACGAGACTTCAAAATAATTTAAAAAATAAACTACATGACTTCAATAAATGTTTTTATGATCGAAGTTTTTCTAAATACTAGATTTATAAATTGGCTATTTTGAGTTTTTCAAAAAAAAATTTACATCAGACATTAGGCGGTGGTGTCGGGACCTATTAATTTAGTTAATTATCTAATCTTTATTTCTATTTATAACTAATTGTTAACTTATTGAAATGTATATAAACAGCTGACAAAGTGTCTTCACTGGAAGGCTTCTTAAATCCGTCCTTTCCTCAAGCCACTTATTCATTCAATTATCTATTTTACTTATTGTTCATATTTTATTGTAACAGATTGTAAATAAAAATTATAAAAATAAAAAAAATAAAAAAAAACATCAGATTTAAATTATGTTATTTTCAGTTTTAAAAATAAAAATAAAAATGTTATATTATTATACGTGTGACGAAAGTGTCTGTAAATTAAAAAATATACATAAAAAAGTGGGTATCTCTCTGCTGTACAGTAGGTCACAATTGGATCACTGTAATCTGGAACGGATAGTGTTAAATTTGAATTCAATGATATATTATCATTGTATAAGAAAAACGATTCTGAGCGAAGACAGTCGGGCTATAATATTACTAAGTACCTATATTATTTTTTATGATATTTTTGTGAATAAAGTAATTTATTTACCTATTTACGTGGAACTTTGTTTTAAATTTTCAATCCTTGGCTATAAAAGCTAAACATTTTATACATTTTTAACTACAACATAATTTTAAAATTAAAAATTCAACACATTTTGTCAAAATTTGAACTTTCAATACTAATAAAAAAAATTTGCTTGTATGTATTTTAAAAATTTTTCAACTGGTAAAATAAAAATATAGCAGGAGCATTGTATTAAATGTTGATGCTTTTTGGCCCAACAAATGACAATTTATTGACAATTAAAGAAAAAAACTAAAAAAAAATTAAAATATCCGTAGTAAACAGCTCAAAACAGGTCAAAATATTTATTACATATTATTAAGTAAGGGAATTGATAAGTTGTTATATGCTGTAAAATTCAAGTATCTACAGTTATTCGTGTTTGAATTACAACAAAATAAGAAATTCGCTACATGTCAACATGAGAAATCGAGAGAATATCCAATGATGTAAAAATTTAATTTGACTTTCAGGTAGATATTTTTTTTTTTGATAAAGGTAGACATAATTATGAGGAATCTTGTATTAAATTTTCCAATGTTAAAATTAAAAATAAAATTTTTATGTATTTTTAACTCAAAATAATTTGCACATTTTAGTATTTTGTTAAAATTTGAACTTTAAATGCTATAACTTTTATAAGGCAATACAGA